TCCCTCTCTCCGGACTTATAGCGCTAGAAACAAGTTTATCTTTTCTCCAAGGCTGTAATCATTTCAAATCTGTAGCACACGTGACTAGTATTTTACTATTATTTTATACCGTTTTGATAATAATGAATTTTGTACACTTTAAAAATACGCCTAATGAACTATGAAAACATAACGGATTCAAAGAATAAGCTACCAACGCTTCTGCTACTTTATTCGAAAAATAGCAACAAAGTCTGCATCATATAATTAATTTTCTCTTATCACTAAAGTATTCCGTATATAATTCCACAAGCAAAGTCAATAAACCTTTAAATATTTTCCTTTCCACACCAATTTTAGCACCATCCAATTAATCGGAGGATCACAATGAATATACTACTTGTTTGTTTGTTTTTAATTATGCACAAAGCTACACAAGGGCTATCTGTGCTCTGCCCACCACGGGTATCGAAACCCGGTTTCTAGCGTTGTAGGTCCACAGACATGCCTCTGTGCCACTGGGGGAGGGGGGCATACTACTTGTTCATAAAAGCAGTTACGTGAGGTAAGAGATACTTCAGTCGATCCAGCTCGTAACCTATTGTTATTTACCTCAATTGATTTTCGTGAGTCCGACAATTTGTACTGACATTCAAAAGATCCTTTCAAACGTCCTCCTACACTTGGAAATGCAAATCAATTTCTTTCGTTTCTTAGAAATAAGACTTTATGCAGCAGAACAGCAATTAGCTACGAGTCTTAGTTCTCTTTTGTTTTAATTGATTGTGTTACTGTCTCTCTCTTGATAATATTTCTCCACACAAAGCAAATGAATCGATACAATTAGCTTTGAAACGATAAGCCTTAGACACGTATCTATATTTAGGCCGAATGCTCATATAGCCTGCCAACTGATTAGGCTTAAAAACAGAGAACACTGCACGTACATTAATATTTTTTGATAACTTCAAACTGACTAAATCTAAGTGTTCCAAGTACAATTATAACTTGCAGGAACACTTTTCTATTTCATTTGTTGATCAAAGAAATGTTATGAGTGTATTGTTTTATTTAAAAGTGTGTTGGATATACAAGACTGTTTAGTGTAGGCATTATTATTTAATTTATTTTATGAGTTAATATTTAATGATTGTTGAGTTTTCATAACAAGAGAGTTAAAAGCAATTATTTTAAAGGCGATAGTTATGACAATTTGGTTACGTAACTCGGTTAGAGTCATACGCTGTGTTTGCAATTCATTGTTGTAGAGGCTATATTGTTGATGTCACGTTCCTCAAATCTTTAGCATTTTTTCTCGTTTCCTTAATTAAGTATTGTTAAATCAGCACCGTTCGCGCATTTTACAGAAAGTTCTAGGCCACAGTGAATAAAGCATTTATATAGGTGGCTCGCGAGCGCAAGTTAAGAAGAAAAAAAGAAGTACTAAGTGAACTGAAAGAAAAGTTCAATCAGAGAAAAGTGAGAAAACGTGAAGTTAGCTGGTGTCTGAGTGATTAACTTTAACACGTGATATTTTAAAGTGAGTTTCTAGTAAAGTTTAATAGAGATAAGGAGAATAGTTTGTCTTGTCAAAGGGTGTTCTAAAGTAATTGAACCCGCATGTGTGGATTGTTTGTTTGTTTTGAATTTCGCGCAAAGCTACACGAGGGCTATCTGCGCTAGCCGTCCCTAATTTAGCAGTAAAACACTAGAGAGAAGGCAGCCAGTCATCATCACCCACCGCCAACTCTTGGGCTACTCTTTTACCGACGAATAGTGGGAGTGACCGTCACATTATAACGCCCCCACGGCTGAAAGGGCGAGCATGTTTGGTGGGACGGGGGTTCGAACCCGCGACCCTCAGATTGCGAGACGAGTGCCCTAACCACCTGGCCATGCCGGGCCCGCCTTTGTGGACTTTAACGAAAGAACACAATTATTTGAATTTTACGATACAGCTGTGGTAACCCATGGGGTAACGTAAGTGAATTATTCACTGATACTATTAAGGTAAGAGCAGAGAAAAATATTTTGCCTTGTCAAATGGATTCTAACTTAATTGAATCAACCTAAGTAGACTTTTGACAATAAAAAGTGAACTATTTAAAGTTTGAGATACAACTGTGATATCAATACTTATGTAATTTTTGTACATACATTTAACTTGTTTTGAATATATTGTTATAAAACAAGTGGATCGTCTGCTGTCCGTTTACTGTTCGAATTTATCGCTAACAAGTCATAGAAAACTACTGTAGAAGAATCCTCAGCCCACATATACTTAAAACCCTGACAAAGTGCATTAAATTTATCTGTGCAGATGACATCCTTCTGCCTGTTTATTTGTGATTTTTTTAAAACCTTAATAAAATTATTACTGTTAGTCAATCAGAATTATGCAACAAGATATATTTAGATACTTCAATTAAGTCGTAAGCTTAAGAGGTTCCATCTTAATTCAAAACTAAAACGAGTTCCATCAAGATTGGTGCATGTTCCAGAAACTAATCATCACCCAACTGCATCACCCCACCCCCCAGCTCCCTTACACGTTATCCGTACTTTGTTCTCCATAATTTAATTTTTGCATGCTTTAATGGCGTTTAAATAGCTTCATGCACACGCGTTACTCTTTTAATTATACAGATTTCCGCCTTATGGACATCATATATTTAACTTCGATAACTTTAGCTTCATTTGCACTAGGACTGCTGCTAAAAAACACTTCTATTGATTATCTGCAATACCTTCTGTAAAAAAAAAATAATAGACGTTTTGGTATTTCATAAAGCAATCAGGTTGTAAACATAATTGGTAAATACCGGCTCATACTGAAACATGTGTTGTGTAGTCTCGTCACTGAGCGTATCGTTAAGATGAAACGTGTCATACAGAGTCTTATCATGAAAAATGTGTAGAATGTCATCATGAAACGTGTCGTGTAGAGTGTCATCATGAAAATATAATGTTAATGGGTGAAAATACGTGTCGGAAGAGGCTGTGTTCCTCCTTGAGGCAATAAGAAATCCTTGTCTATTTCACAACGTCTATTACCATATATGTGTGTGTGTGTGTGTGTGTGATTATAAACGCCCACAAATGAAGAAAGCTAATAATTAGAAGATGTATAGTCATAGTATAGACCTGAATAGCGACACCTATATCAAGAAGCTATACATTTCAGTGGAGTGACTTCATATATATATATATATATTAAGTCAGCCTGTAGTTCGATAGAGATGACATTACAACCATCAGAGTGTGACCTTTATAAAACCTAAAACTGCTATTCTGTCTTTTGTTCGGGTGGTGGAATGAAGGGTACACTCTGAGAGGCGAAAAAAGTCACGTTAGTATGAAATGATAAAAAACTTTCTGTTTCAGCTCTCACTTTGTAAGCTCGGTGAAACCAAGAAAAGATGCTCTTTTTATCGAAAATGGGGTTGGTATTATTTATGAGCATCCGCTGGGTTTCTGACATGAGAAGAATTTTTAACCAAGTAAGAGAACTGTCGTTCAGAGCCAACCTTATGATCTGATAGATCGTGCACAACGAAGCCTTACGAATCGTGAAGCAAAGTAAATACAACAGTTTCATTTCTTAATAACAAAACCTAAATGTATGGAAAAAAGATACTAGAGATAATGTCACACATATTTTTCGCTTCAGAAAAGTCACTAGAACTGATGTCACACATCTTTCTCGCTTCAGAAAAGTCACTAGAACTGATGTCACACATCTTTCTCGCTTCAGAAAAGACACTAGAACTGTGTTGTTGTTGTTGAAGTTAAGCACAAAGCAACACAATGGGCTATCTGTGCTCTGTCCACCACGGGTATCGAAACCCGGATTCTAGCGCCGTAAGTCTACAGACATGCCACTGAGCCACTGGGGGGAGGAGGCTAGAACTGTGTTATTTTCTAATACAGCTCAGCTGTCTATTTCACTTCTACTCAGTGACAGCCGTTTTTAGGTCCTTCTTGTAAAGTATATCATTTCTTCCCTGGCCTTGTTTCCGAGAAAGATTTACTGGAACTTAGGTGGTTTGCCATAGAAACGAAGACAACATTAAGTGGCATAACCATAGAAACCTTTACGTGGTTTTTAGTTATTTGGGTTAAAATAATTGTAGAGGGCAAAGCTAAACAATGGGCTATCTGTGCTCTGCCCACCACATGTATCGAAATTTGATTTTTAAGCGTTGTAAGCCTGCAGAATTATCGCTGAGCTAGTGGGGGGGGGGCAAAACTGTATAGTCACTAATATTGTAATTTGTAGAGTTATTACTGAGTTATACAGATTAGAGACACTCAAACAAAATACACTGCGAATGTTGTTGTTTTTTTCAAAATTCTTTTGGTTCTTCTTCAAAACACCCCAATAGTATAGATTTAAAGAGCGACACCTGTATCAAGAAACTGGCTATATATATATATTAGGGCAGCCTGTAGTTCGATAGAGATGACATTTCAACCATCAGAGTATGACCTTTATTAGACCTAGAACATTCATTGCTTTTCGTTTTTCTGCTTTTTGTTCGAGGGGTGGGGTGAAAATTAAAACGAGTTCCATCAAGATTTAATATTAGTTCACGTTGCGAAGAATATAACTAAAAACAACTGCAGTGATAACACCCAAAAGGAGTTGAGTGTATCCCGTCTTTCCGATTATCTTTCAAAGGAAAATAAAACAGAACAAGAAATATAGCCTAAGTGTTTAAGTCCGTGGTATACTAGATTCTGTCTATCATTCAACTTCCGCGGCCAACTGTGGGTTTCGTAGAATTAATAACCTTACACTTCAGAATAGTAAAAATCAAAGAGTTTATTTTTGACTGAAATATTTCTAGATAAACAGGAAGAAATGCATAATAGTAGTATTTATAGAGAAAACTGGTGGTTCTGTTTAAGATATTAAAGATATTATTTCTTGCTGCCGATGTTTGTTACCTGTATACAGAGTAGAAAATCGAGTTATTGAAACAATTTGCATAATAAATTATCTCTCTCTCTCTTTTCAGTAATCTGGAGTACACGTGAAGCCTATTTCCATGGGGGAATCAAACGAGAGCCATCTAGTGAGACTGATCAATACAACCACTGCGGACGCATTCGACAACTTACCACCAGGGCATAAGGATATCCTGGAGATGCACGCTAACAGCCAATCAAATGCCATCGTTTATGTGATGGTGGTGTTACTTTTGTATGCCGTAGCGTTAGTAGTGGTGGTGATAAAATATGTTAGAAGAGAACGGTGTGAGTCCCGTCTCACAAATCTCTACGATACATTCATTGGGAGAGATATGTTTGTCCGACTGTCTAAACGACAGTCGTCAGTTCCAACAGCAACAACGGCCCCCATTCTAGATGGCGTGGATGATAGCCAAACACCTAATCCTTCGTCTAATCGTTGCGTTCCAATCAAGACGGCAGATGAAGCAGTGAGTAAAGTATAAAGAGAAGAGAAACGTGGGTTGTACGAGTATGTTAGTTACTGTACCGACAGCCAAATATATACTACACATATATCTGTGGTAAAAGTAACTAATTACTTACGGTAAGGTAATAGTCCTCGAATTAAACACATTTTATACAAATCATCACTGCTAATTTATGCAGACTGAAGCTTCAACATTTGACAGTACACGTTTAAATACTCACAGAAATGAGTCCATTTGAGTTTGACCTGAAAACTTTTTTTTAGGTTTTAAATGAAATAAAAAATAATAATTAAATCACGTACATGCGTCACACCTAACTCGGAGTAGGCCCTGAAGCGCAGCATTTTTTTTTTAATACTCAACAAACAATGTCGGTAAAAACCTTTGTGGTGAGTCAAAATATATAATGATCTTGATACAATTATTTGCAAGTATAGCATACCAGCACTAAAATTAGTACGGAAACGCCGTATCAAACAATATCGTCTTATTTTCACTACATACATACACACACATATGTATATACAGTTAATGTTTTCAATAACATTTACAATAGGGTTAAGAACACCAACATGTTTAAAAGTCGAACAAAAACACGAGCTGATTGAACGCCGTAAGCTAAGGAGTTAAGATTTTGTAAACGACTGATACAAAAGTTCGGACGAGAAGGCTAGTGTTCCTGATATATCCACATTTTGACATCTGAGCCTTTATTGGTTTCTAACTCCAATCTGTCGGTTGGCTTATATGGTTGTTAAAAGTAACAATCCTCTTTTTTGAGGACATTTAGTTTCGCCACTTTTTTTTCAGTAAAACTTTCGCTCAACAATAGTCCTTATGTGATAGTTAAATGTTATTGTTGTCGTCTTTAGAATTATTGTTAATTTTGTTAACGTCTAGGATCCTTATCTCTGGAAAAATCATCTTTAAAGCAGTTCTCATATACTGAGCATATGTATGTACTCTCAATCCAGCTCAATGAACAAAAAAATATATTCTTAATACCAGTTTCCGTCTATTGTATGTATTCTCAATCCAGCTAATGAGAAAAAGTCATATTTATAACAGTTCCTAGCCAAAATATAATCTTAATACCAGTTCCCAACCACTTAGCGCATGTTGACATTCTCAACCCAGCTACAAAAATTGTAATATCAAAATGCAACAAAGTAAAATATGTCAAACCCAAAAAAGGCACGTGACTCTGTTTATAGGCATGTAACCTAATAACGAGATTACATACTTAAGATTTGTAAAGTTCGCTTCAAGATTGTATTGGTTTGTCTAATACAATACAAGTTCGTAATGAGTTTGTAAATTTTAAAAGAAAACAATCATGTAGATTAAAAAAGTTTTACGTTGATGAACACAAAAGCAAAAAAAAAATAATATATATATAGGAAACAATGTTTCTGCAACGTATTTTGTATCAGGCTTTTTGTTTGGCTAATAGAAATGTCATATATTCTTCTCAACTGTGTGTATGTGTGTGTGTACTATGTTATACACTAACAAAATCATCTGTTTATTGTTGAATATTTGTTGGAAACTCAATATTTCAAAATATTAATATTTGAAATAAACAAACATATTTTAATGAACATGCTCTTGTTGAATACAAACTATAAAATAAATTGCTGTTTCTAAGAAATAGAAACAATTAAATGGTGACAAACAGCTCATTCCTGACTTCTTTAAGTACCTCACCTGAGAATGTTATTTATATTATTTATAAATATCTTCAAAAACTAACGATCTGTAGAAAGAATACAATTTTTAGTATTTCTTAGTATTTGTAACCTTATTTTGCCTAAAAAGCCTGCGAGAAACAGTTATGTTCTTTTTATAGATCGTTAGTTTTTGAAGACATTTCTAAACATGTACATTCTGCGTATTACTCAAACTTTTAAGCTGTCGACTGATTGTCGTTGAATTTCGACAAAACTCGTAAATTTGTAGTGTTTGGAAATTTTCTTATTTACTCTTTGTTAAAAATAAGATGGTTGTACCTTTGTAAAATAAAGTGACGTGTTATAAACTTGTATTTAATTTGAAATTGTCTGTACCATTGCAGGTTACATTGGAACGCCACCTTGTGAGAACGTTGGTTATAAAGCCATATCAGAGAGTCCTCAGGATTCGGATATAGCCGTTCCTAATTTTAAACTAGTGATAGGAAAAATGGTGGCGCCCGCTGCTGTAAGGGCTTTATCCGTTTTTAAAACTAGTAATGGGATCGACTGTCACTCTTATAACACATCCACAGCCTTTCAAAGCGCGGAGAGTGTTCGGCGAAATCGCGGCGCGAACCTTGAACCCTCTAATCCGCTAACCGTTAGACCTCGTCCGGTTCTATTCACGAAGGACAGAAGTACTCTAAAAGACATCATTCGAGTACATACGTTTTAATTGTTTGTATCTAAGCGCAAAACTACACAATTGGCTATCTGTGCTGTACCCATCACGAGTATCGAAACCCGACTTTTAGCGCTATAAGTCCGCAGACTTATCACTGAGCCACTGGGGGCGAGCATATAAGTAATAATCTAACAGTCTTTAACATTGTTCACGATCTAAGAAAAAAAACTATAAATATTTCGATTTATGTAAATTTTTGAGCTCACCTAGATACTCAGTGTAGAAAAAACTTGTGATGTCATTGCTCGAGAATAAATTATACGTCATAATACTTAACCCTTGTACCTGCAGAAACTTTAAGAACATATCTAAACAGCTGCCAAGAACGATGTAAGTTTAATGTCCTTCTCTGCAAAGCTACTAGTGGTGTATGTACCATTTCCATTCATATCCACCTACCTAGAGTGTCCCTAACGATACCGTGAATCCTACACAAAGAAAATATCGTCATTTCCCTTTTTATTCTCGTTTTTTCTTTCTCGTTCTCTATTTTGAATTATAGATGTTTTCGTGTATTCAACAGCTATACTACTCATACCGAACTGTTGTTTAGACTTTAGTTCGTTGTTGTTCCTATTTTCCACTCAAAACAGCATTTATATTTCCTTTAAAGCTTCTGTTTACTTATTGTTAAGCACAAACTTACACAATGGGCTATCTCTGTTTTGGCCACCAGGAGTATCGAAACCCGGCTTTTAAAGTTATTAGCCTTCAGACTTACCGCTGAGCCACTGGAAGGCTAATCACTTCTGACATATTACGTGGCCATCCAATTTCTAGTGTCCCCGCACTGGCACAGCGACATGTCTGCGGAATTACAACGCTAGAAACCGGGTTTCGATACCCGTGGTGAGAAAAGCACAGATAGCCCATTGTGTAGCTTTGTGCTTAATTACAAACAAACCAATTTCTAATAATAAAGTCTGACAAAATTTCATTTGTATACACGTACCAAACGTCTTTATTATTAAATAATTGTTTGATGATATGGGTGTCTAAATGTAACGTTTCTCCTGCCTAATTTTCGTAAACATTCTCAAAAAACTACTCTTTGACGCCCCCCCCCCAGCGGCACAGCGGCTTGTCTGCGGACTTACAATACGATTACCGTAGAGGGCAGGTCACATACAGCCCATTGTGAAGCTTTGTGCTTAACTACAAATAATCAATGAATATCTTGGAATGAAATTTATGCGAAGCATGGCGATTTTGTTTGTTTTACATTATATCGATTTCTTAAATTTGTTTCCCTAGCGAAAACATTAAAAGAAGAAAACATTGAAGTGAAAGATGTCTTCAAATAAGCAGTTGAACCCCCCCCCCCAAAAAAAAATAAATAAATTATGAGTTAAAAAGTTTGTTTGTTGTTACACTAAAGGATATCTGTTTTGTGCCCACCGCGGGTATTGAAAAATTCTAAGCATTATTTTAATAGTTAATAAGGTAAGTAATGCATAATAAGAAATATCCCTGGCAGTAGCCTGTAGGTTAGGACGTAATCTGTGGATCGCGGGAGCTAAACCCGTCACCGAACTTGCTCGCCCTTTCAGCTGCGGGGGCGTTACAACGTCACGGTCAATCCTATTATTCGTTGGTAAAGAGTAGTCCCAAAAAAATTTCGATAGGTGGTGTTGACTAGCTGCCTTCCCTCTAGTTCATCACTTTGAAATTAACGGCGGCTAGTGCAGGTAGCCCTCGAAAAGCTTAGCGCGAAATTCGAGAAATAAACAAACTTTGGATGTACTATTTTCACATCAGTTCTTCAAAACAAGAACAAAATAGAAATAAAGAAAGCTAAAATCGCTGAGAGAGAGAGAAATTTGTCAAGTGTTTATATGTTAGATAAGTATCTGTATGTTTACGAAAATTATACAAGAACTACGCTAATTTTAACTTTTGGTAATCTCTGATTACGACAACTTCAATACATGTGCAAATTTAGATAAAGTGCATATGGACGTTTGTCATCTCAATAACACTTAATGCAAATCTATGATAAAGCTAAATAAGTGTTCAAATAATATTATAACCCTCCAAATCAATTTCTGATAAAGATAATTAAGTGTTCAAATAATATCATAACCCTCCAAATCAATCTTTGATAAAGATAAATAAGTGTTCAAATACTATCATAGGATATGGAGGGTATGATATTATATCAACACTTCTTTAGCTTTGTCAGAGATTGATATGGAGGGTTATGATATTATATCAACACTTCTTTAGCTTTGTCAGAGATTGATATGGAGGGTTATGATATTATATCAACACTTCTTTAGCTTTGTCAGAGATTGATATGGAGTTTTATGATATCATCTGAACACTTATTTATCTTTGTCAGAGATTGATATGGAGAGTTATGATATTATCTGAACATTTGTTTAGCTTTATCAGAGATTGGTATGGAAAGTTATATTATCCGAACATTTCTTTATATATTTATCATAGATTGATACGGAGGGAGTCTCGGATTAAAAATAGTGATTCTAAATTGTCTTATTTCTCTGCGTGATTAAAATTAGTTTTCTTCTTTTTTCTACCACATAAGCGTGAAAAGTAAGAGTGAGAAATAAATGTCCTGTTTCTGTTTTACCATGGTTATGACGGCTCTGCGTTACCATGGTTACGATAGCCCTGTGTCACTATAGTTGTAAGAAAGGTTGTTGTTGATCTGCAACTTTTCTTGGCTTTTATATATAATAAACACAACAGCACAGAAGATCAAATATAGATTCTTTTATTTTATAAACGTACAAACTCTAAGTAATATGAATTAATTTTTTTTTCTTTTCTGAGCTACAAAACTTAAATACTTTTTCTAGCAATAGATGTCTGAAATCAGCTAAGCCTATATCTTTTCAAAACTTGTAATTACAGAACTTATTATCGTTCATCTGGAATGATGTTTGAACTTCTTGCTACACGATAAGAGAGGAAAATTAGTTAAATGAGAAGCATGTTCTGAGTTCGTTGTTTTTTCATGTATAGACAAGTCTCGCATACCCTATTAAAACGCAGAGTATAGAGAAAATAACTTTCTAAAGAAGTTTATATTGTTCCTCACCAAACGTCTGCCTGTTTTTTAGATAGACGGATAAGTAGACAGCAGACAGATGTTCTGCGTTACAAAATACGTGTATATATTTCATATTTACATAACTAAACAAAGAGATGGTCAGACAGATAGATAAATGTTTACTTTGTTACAAAATTGTGTCTGTTGTATAGAGAGATAAATAGATAGGCGGACGGACAGGTAGATACTGTGTCAAATATATCTACTAAATATCTATATATCTCTTGACGTTAACATTAAATAGATATATTTGACACAGTGTACTTTACTAAATATCTATATATCTCTTGACGTTAACATTAAATAGATATATTTGACACAGTGTACTTTACTAAATATCTATATATCTTCTTGACGTTAACATTAAATAGATATATTTGACACAGTGTACTTTACTAAAATATCTATATATCTCTTGACGTTAACATTAAATAGATATATTTGACACAGTGTACTTTACTAAATATCTATATATCTCTTGACGTTAACATTAAATAGATATATTTGACACAGTGTACTTTACTAAATATCTATATATCTCTTGACGTTAA